TCATACACATTTCTTATTTTGTAATAATTTTATTTATTCGTGTTTTTCTTCTATTTTATTATTAAATAATATATAATTGGATATATTTATTTTTTCTTATAATTATTCATTTTATCTTATTTCTTATTAATATTATTATAAGTATTATATTCTTATTTATTCTTGTTTGTTATTATTATAGTCCATTTGTAATTATTATCTCAAATAAACACTTGTTTTGATTGAAAACCAATTAAAACAATTCATTTTACCTTTAAAATTAAATTAATGATAATATTATTATTTAGAATGACATTCAATTGTTTTGAAATGTTATTTTAATATTAAAATAATATTTATATTCAAACAGCATCTATTTCTTTTATTTATTGTACAAATGATTTTATATAATAACAATTAATACATGTTATATTTTCTATTTAATATATTCATATCATTTGTATGTATTATATTTTAATTTGTATTTTCATTTTATGTTTTAAAGATTTTTTGATAATATTTTATTTTGATTTTGATTCATATTGTTTAAATAAAAGAAAAATATCTTTAATGTAACTTTATATTTATTCTGATTGTTATTTATGTTTGATTTTCTTCTTTCTATTTTATAACATTTATCAACAAAGAATATTATGAAATATGTTTATTTACATCATTAGAAAACAGTATAATTGTTAATTTACTTCATATTCATAAATGATAAGAATTATAATAGAAATTTAAATCAAATAATTGTTAATTATTGATTTATTTCATTTGTTATTTATTCGTTATTCTTTATTGTTTATGCATTTATTTATGTTAATTGTATGATTAATGAATATTTTAATTGTTTGTTTTGATATTCTTCATAAAATATCATTATTATAAAATAAAATATTCAAATTATATTTATTTCATCATTGTTTATTTCATGTGATTGTTAAATTAGTTTATTTCATTTTATTTATCTTTGTTTATATTTCATTTCTTTATTCTTTTTTTCTATTTCTTTATTTTTCTGTTTAATTAAAAATTGATAAAACTTAAATTATTT